GGCCGTTAATGTTGAGTTTCTCGTACAGAGATTGTAGTGTAACATGAGACAGACCAGTATCTGCCAGCTTCTGGACCATGTTTGTCGAAAGATGAAGTTTTCCATCGAACGTCTGGATGGTATCTTGTCGTTGTTCCGAGAAGATGGCTTTATCGAAGGCCTCATTCGGCGATGCACATTTACCATGATCGACTGTTAGAATTGTTCATGTGCAGTTTGAAGTGGAGGAGTGAAGAGAATTTGCTTTGACGTCTTTCAGATTGTCATGAGCGTCAAACTAAGCGGAAATCAGGGTTTCATAATCATATACAACAGTAATTTGTTGGCGTATAATGCACGATCCTTCGCAGTAGATAGCGCTATTTATGCAATAGCGAAAATCAGACCTGAAAAAAATCAGGCCTATACGGGATTCGAACCACTGACCTCTGCGATACTAGTGCAGCGCTCTACCAATTGAGCTAACAAGCCAACTGGGAGCAGGCCGTTAAGTTGATTCGTAATAAACCCGTGATGATAAATCAGACGCAATGGATATATGAAGGTCATATATTTTGAACTGCGGTATTAAATACGTATGATGCACGATCCTTCGCAGTAGATAGCGCTATTTATGCAATAGCGAAAATCAGACCTGAAAAAAATCAGGCCTATACTGGATTCGAACCCCTGACCTCTGCGATACTAGTGCAGCGCTCTACCAATTGAGCTAACAAGCCAACTGGGAGCAGGCCGTTAAGTTGATTCGTAATAAACCCGTGATGATAAATCAGATACAATGGATATATGAAGGTCATATATTTTGAACTGCGGTATTAAATACGTATGATGCACGATCCTGATTTTTTTCAGGTCTGATTTTCGCTATTGCATAAATAGCGCTATCTACTGCGAAGGATCGTGCATCATACGTATTTAATACCGCAGTTCAAAATATATGAACTTCATATATCCATTGTATCTGATTTATCATCACGGGTTTATTACGAATCAACTTAACGGCCTGCTCCCAGTTGGCTTGTTAGCTCAATTGGTAGAGCGCTGCACTAGTATCGCAGAGGTCAGTGGTTCGAATCCCGTACAGGCCTGATTTTTTTCAGGTCTGATTTTCGCTATTGCATAAATAGCGCTATCTACTGCGAAGGATCGTGCATCATACGTATTTAATACCGCAGTTCAAAATATATGAACTTCATATATCCATTGTATCTGATTTATCATCACGGGTTTATTACGAATCAACTTAACGGCCTGCTCCCAGTTGGCTTGTTAGCTCAATTGGTAGAGCGCTGCACTAGTATCGCAGAGGTCAGTGGTTCGAATCCCGTACAGGCCTGATTTTTTTCAGGTCTGATTTTCGCTATTGCATAAATAGCGCTATCTACTGCGAAGGATCGTGCATCATACGTATTTAATACCGCAGTTCAAAATATATGAACTTCATATATTCATTGTATCTGATTTATCATCACGGGTTTATTACGAATCAACTTAACGGCCTGCTCCCAGTTGGCTTGTTAGCTCAATTGGTAGAGCGCTGCACTAGTATCGCAGAGGTCAGTGGTTCGAATCCCGTACAGGCCTGATTTTTTTCAGGTCTGATTTTCGCTATTGCATAAATAGCGCTATCTACTGCGAAGGATCGTGCATCATACGTATTTAATACCGCAGTTCAAAATATATGAACTTCATATAT